CGAAAAAATTATATGTATTTTCTACATATTAGTAGACTCTAAAATCGATTAAATGAGCTTTGAAACGGCTAAATTGTTAAAATTTTCGGGGGCTCCCCCCACCGGAAATCATACTCTGAAGACTGATAGCTATAGAGAAATGCGTGTAAAGTTAAACGTGACATTTTTCTGCAAGTATGAAAACACTTCCACAAAATCGAACTTTTATATTAATGTTCTAGAGGAAAACTCGACTATTTTAATCACCTACGAATGCAAGGAAATATTAAATGACTCGTTGGTCGATTTTTCTCAATCTTACAACAGGTGCAATAGTCCAAATTATTTATAATCGCTTCGCACAATTAATGACAAATGACATTTCTAATAAATACCTCTGTAATCATGTTAAGGATGTAGCAGGCCTCATCACTACACATAATATTATTGCATCGTTCAAAAGCCAATGTGTAATTTTTTAAAAGTGATTATTGAATAATATAATATTATTATGAAACTCCAATGAATGAAATTGAAAATAATATGATATAATACGTGGTTTGGCGCATAGAGACATACCGGTAGTACATTGAGAATTATATGTCTAAGATTGAATTGGATTGGATTGGTTTTGACCTGCCTTAACAAGTGTACACAAAGGCTAAAGGTTTCCGCGAATTTGTTGTCTTTATTAACATATCGCATTTGGCATAGAATAATAATTAATACTTTTACGATAGATGGGTAGTGATGAAGCCCCGAACCCGAAAAAGGGGAAAACAGTTGCCGGAATATGGGAATGCTTCGCCCTCACTTTCTCCCCGGGAACATCAATTACCGGTACTCTAAAACACTCTTACCTCAGTCACCCACTACATGCTTTCATCATCTTCTGCACACCTATCAGAAGCACATTATACATAATGTGTATGTATGTCGTGGTAAAATATAGAGTATAAGTTTCAATTCTTTGCTGTGTATATCGCTTATATGCTTGAGCAAAGGCACTTTATCTACATTGCTAGAGCCTACCCAGCTGTATCAATTGGTACCAGCAAATTTTGCTGGGAGTAACCTGCGGTGGACTAGCGTCCCACCCGGGGAGCACTGCACTCTCATCCACTTCACGCTACAGTACCTGGGAATATGCTCCAGCCCATATGGGCCCTACTGATAGTGGTTCGGCAAGGATTTAATTTATTGGTAAATATGAAATCGAAATAAATACGACATATTTAATGTATGCAGTGCTCTTCGCCTTAAGATTGAGAACGTGGCATATGTTTGATCCCTATATCAGACGAGTACAGTAACCCTTTTTCTCTTGAAGCATCCATCACTCCTCAAACATCGCCTACAATGCCGCATCTAAAAAGTTCGATTAATTTAATTTTAAACTATTTAAGTCTAATAGCCTATATTGTAGCTACGTTCCTGTCTAGAGTTATTTCTGTATTGATTTGTTTTAAATAATAATACTGTAAAGTTAAATCATTCTCATTTCTATACAAATTGTTTTTTATGTTATATAATTTCCCCTGGAAATGAAATACCAGAATATATGCCTATTTGTAGTGAATTAGTTTTGGATTAAAATGAATTTATAAAGAAAGCTGACAACACTATTATGTTGTCTCATAAACAAAGTAAATTAGATCTTTTCTCGAAAATATAAACGAATGAAATGAAAAAATGAATTAATATATGAATGAATGAATAATAAGTTAATAAGTCAACAAAAAAGCAAGTAAGTAATTAAGTCAGCAACAGGGGTGGCGCCAGAATTTGCCCGACCGAGGGTTCAAGATCATCGACGAGAGGGCCAATTTCCCGATGAGATCAAAGTGGGCGTGGTTGAGCGAAGCCAACGAAAAATTTGACGATATAGGGGTTTCAAAGACCTATTTAATCGATTTTAAGTCCAGAAATATGTAAAAAAATACTTATAATTTTTTCAACGACAAGATATGGTTTTTCTCCGAATGTGGAGGGGGGGGTCTCTTATACAGGGGGGGGGGAAGCACTGGCGCCACCCCTGATGAGCGAGTGAGTTAGTGATGATTAAATGAATGAATGGTTGAATGATAACGTAACTCTTATACCATAGCGCATTCCGCAGGAAAAAAGCTTCAATGCCCTTTACATAAAAAAGATGCAGTAGATATTGGTTATTATGATTCGTTTACTAGAATGATTGAACGATTGAATAAATGAATGAATGAATGAATGATTGAACGAATTAATAAATTACAATCACAACATAAGCATATCACATGAATTGGTATGGGGGATACACCTCCACTGGTGTTAATAAAACATCAAACATGATAATAAGTAGGCCTATTTGAGAGAAACGTACCATACGTCCCCATCGGGATTCAAATCCAAGACCGTTCGGATACTCTACCAACTGAGCTATGAGGCCAAGTGCTAGACACCCTTGGATTTTCCCATTAGGACGCCTTCTTTCAAGGTATTGCGTAATACGCAATGAATAATAGTAAATCAACTGAACGTAATTCTATTATGGAGATCCACCTCCACTTGTGTCAACTAAAGATTATAATAAATATTTGAGAAAACATAAGCTTAATAATTCAACACTTAAACATTTAGAAAAGAACCATATGGTTATCAAAATGCATCAACTGTAACCACGTTATCTGTGAATGTTTTTCTATTTCATAACGCATGTAGCATTTATACAAACACAATGTGTATTATTAATTGACAGAGGAGAGACTGTATAGAGATAAATAATAACAATATCGGCCGGCAATATGAAGATGACCTCAATTCCACGCACGCAGTGATATATTATGAAGATGATCTGAACGCACGCAGAACCACATACAATTTACGTAACTCGATATTGTACTTTAATTTTAGGTGTGCGTACCAAAACCATACCGTATATAAGAGGTTTTGATTAAACAGAGACAGCCTAATATATTGTGTAAACAAAATAACGCATTGCATTACGGTAACAACATATCAGTGAGTTGTAATGGTAAAGGCAAACAACAGTCTATTTAAACACATGGATATTGTCTTTTCAACATTCTTTGGACAAAATGACCAACATTGAAGTGTCTTTAAAGACTATATTAAAAAAAACTAATATAAAGGATACATATTATATATAGATCAAATATATAATACGGTATATTATTTATTATAGGCCTACGTATATAAATTATGGTAAAACATAAATAATGCTATTATATATCGAACGTTAAGAGAAATTGTGTGTGAACAAAAGGGTGAGCCAACAGGGATTTGAACCCGGTACCTTCTACAGTCTATAACGCCGTAAAACACCGGGACTTCGTTGAGAATTCGAATCTGATTAGAATCAACTGCCTCTTACATTTTTTTGCATATGCTGATAGGAACAGCACCAGTTCTTCATAGCATTGAATATATAGTAGAAATCAATATGATACGCCCACATCTTAAACATTTGACGACAAGATGGGTTTTCCGATAATAATAATAATAATAATAATAATAATAATAATAATAATAATAATAATAATAATAATAATAATAAATAATAATAATAATAATCAACAACAATCAATCAATCAATCAGTCAATCAATCAATCAGTAAATCATCTAATCAATCAATCATTCAATCAGTAAATCATCCAATCAATCAATCAACCAACCAACCAACCAATCAGTCAATCAATCGATCAATCACTCACTCAATCAATCACTCAATCACTAAATCACCAAATCAATCAATCAATCAATCAATCAATCAAACAATCAACCAATCAAAAAAACAATCAACGATCAAACCAAAAGAAAAAAAAATCAGGAAAGACAGACACGATTACTTTGACAGTAGGCCTACTGTGTGTACATCGTGTTGATTTGTTTTTCATTACGCCCGCCGCTGCCCCGAAATCTCAAGCAGTACGATATGTTTATTTCTCTCCTAATTATATAAATTAAAAAAATACTACACTTTTTACATTGCTAAATAAGAAAACAAAAGTTTATTTTAATTTGTTTTCCACCCTCTCTGACGATCTTAAAAATATTAAAAAAATAAGTTCCCGAAACAGTGTATAAAAAGTCTCGGCATGTTTGTTTGCTATCTATAAAACAAAGGTCAGTTTTGTGTGTCAGGGGCGGTGTCAGGTAGTATTAATCATAAAGATACCAGTTTCTATTTAATTATTCAAGAAGTTTAAGGGTCAAAACAGAATGTCATCGATGTTCATTCAATCAAGGGTATGATTAATAATACATAATTAATATGTAAATGTTTTTTTTACATGTTTCGTTTATTTTCTGTGTCATCAATGCTACCCTGATAAACTAAAGACTGGCTGGTTTGATTTTATTATATTCAACAGTTTAAAAAATATTTTTCATTATTTGAAAAAGAGCATATCTTTACAATTAAAAAAATAACAATTAGACATATGCACTAAAAAAAAAACCATTCCGAGATAAAGACCCGGGGTGTAACGAAGAGGCTTAGGGCCAGGCTAAGGCTTCTTCGGGCCCACTACCCTGGGGGCTGGATCCCTAATAGAGTCCCCAGCGAGATACTGGGAAAACCCCGCTTCGGCGTGTTAAAGGTTACTGACGTGCTAAGATGTTGTTTTACATGTCCTGCTCCTTAAAACTACATTGACACGATAACGACACGATAAAATACGCTCAGTGTTTAAGAATATAAACGACGCGATGATTTACGGGCGGTACGGTAATTATTACAATTTATTACAATTTCTTTATCTGACTTAAAAAAAAAATCGACACTTTTAAACAGCTTGTGGCTACCGCAGTGGGCTGCATAAAATGCAGCCCACTGCGGCGGATCCAGAATTGAATTCATTAAACGAAGGGGGGAATTTTGTTTTCCCCGTTTTCTTACTCCAATACATAACATGATATGTACTGAAATTAAACAATTTAGTCTCCCCTCTCCCCGCACCCTTGGATCTGCGATCCAATTGCACTGCTAGGCTGGAAGTTTAATATGTAAATACTTTAGGCTTAACAATAATAAAAAGCAGGCGCGTATTTTTATACGTCATTATGTTATTGTTATACAGCATGCAGGTGGTAGATATTGTCAGCTATCGATTTTTAGCGATGCTCTGGTTTGATACTGTATTCTTACCTTAAAGCTGTGGAGATACATTTTAGTAATCCTCATGTACTGGCATCATAATTTGATCATTCGTGTCTTTGGTGCCAGTTATAATCCTGTCATCCTCTATCTAGGATAGGATGAAATGCAGCGTGTAGCCGCAATTATTACGGGCCGATTATTGCGCCATTAGTAAGATAGCCAATATTATAACAGAAGTGTTTTATGTCATGGAAAACGAGCTAACCCAGGCGTTCAACCATTCGGAATATGAAACACAGTCAGGCCTAATGTGATTAATATAAATTATACAGAAATAATTAAAAAAACAACCACAAGATGGTCCTCCATGATTTGCATATTTACGCGCGTGTCAACACAATAGTCGTTGTATCCAAAGATGATTCATCTTATTTTACTCGCCTAAAATACAATACCACCCTATCAGTCAATGAACCAATTAATCTCTAGGTCGAGATTCGCAAAGCCATTTACAAATGGAGAACTTTTGAAAAAATATCACAAACTAGTGGGAATTGACGTCATTTGATGATAATTCATAGAAAGTAATATTGTTATTATTCACTATGCGCTATTTATCTATTAAGACACAATCATACTTAATAACTTATGATTTATAAAAAAAGTGTAAAACCCGTTTCTCTTAGGAAAACCTTTCGGAGGTGTTTACAACTTGGACATAAATTGAAGAAACGGTAGTCGGTACTTTAGGTTCGAATATGATGGGCCATTTGTACTGTATCACACATAACGTGCTTAAACGTAATGTAATACAATTTAAGAAATTTGGATATAATAATATATCTGAATTTATTACCATATTATGGTAATATTTATTTATTTTAAAAATATTTTGCGATGAATTATATTCAGCGGGTTCTTTCTGGTAATGAAT